ATATATATAGAAACACTGTAATAGCAGATACGATCATGTTATCGTTGAATAGTAAAGATTAGTTGGTGGTGTTGTCGCATGATCACCATTATCATTGTCATACGTTGAGATTTATTCATCGATTCATTATCATTGTCATGTCTGATTTTCATCTAATGAAATTGTTCATAATGTTAGTTGTATTGCACCGTTCTGTCAGCAATGCTTGTCATGATAAAATAATCTTTGTTTTAATTTAATTTCGTTAATTCTGTCAGCAATGCTTATTATAGTAAAAAAAAGTTTAATTTCATATCTCATTTTAATCTTTTGATAATTGAGAACGATTACAAAGGATTAATAATTATTTGTAAGCGATTACTTTATTGTAGTGTTTCGAAAGCAATTTATATCCGATGTCGTAAGGTTATGCTCTAGATATGTTTGCATTCATACACATTCATGTTTCATTTGCCATTTCATTGCAACTTTTGAGAGTTCATTAGCACTGCAATCGTTTCACTCGAGTGTACGAATTGTTCTGAATACTGAATTTGACTTTTGATGAAAAATTTTCACCTTGTTTCTTGTGTTCATACGATGAGATGACTGAATTTGTTTCCTTTTTTTGCGTAGAATTCGAATCGTGGTCGTCGTGTCCTTGATCTAAATGCTACAAATGGTCTAAATGATTGCGCTGCATCACTTCTTACCTCTTTTCCTCCGTCTAGTACCATCCATTCGCGTGTCACTTCATCTCATCTTCATTTTGATGTTTGTAATACTTTCACTGGACGAATTTTATTGTTTGCTTGCTGGATAAGCTGATGTGGGCACGGTTTCGTGAGTCGTTAATTATCGTCGTTAAGTTTTTCGTGTAAGAATTAATGAAATTTGAGAAAGTTTATTGAATTAGTATGCACAATACGCGTTAAAAAGTGATATTATGAGAGGATTTAAGCACATGTTGCAAGTGCAGTGTGTACGAGTGCTCTCTCGTATTGATTATGAAGTGGAGAAAAAATAGACGAATTAGCTACAATAAACCGAAAAAGTGAGCAAGTTCAAGCCCGAAATTCACGTTTATCGCCGATAATTTTCATCTAGGTTTAACAGTTTCACTAACTTTTTAGTTTACAAATCATGCAGTATCAGCGTCAACAATTTGGTTAATGTGAGCACTTGTGTGCATAAGTCATTCAATATTCGATGCACTTGCTGTTAAAAGATACTGCTGATGATAACGTCGCATGTTTGACAATTGTTGCAAGTTTTCCTTATTTATAAGGCACCTGGCGGTAATTGGTGAATCAGAGCAACAAATATTATATTTTTAATGGGCAGATGGGTAATCTTTTATCAACAGCATAACTGTCAGCGTCGGATGCATATTAAATGTCAAAAAAACTAAGATAAGATAGGTTAATGCAGCCTGGACTGGAAGCACCTAAATCGACAGATGAATCGAATCGATCGTGAAATTGATCAGCTCCGAACGCAAAATGGCGTTCACTGCATTATTCCCATTTGCGCATCTCTCATAGTTTCTCTCTTTCTTTGTCGATTGATCATCATCGTTGTCATTGCACTTTGCTCATTTTGGTGCTTGTTGCCTGTCTTCATCGATCGTCTACTTCATGTGCACGAGCGTTGTGCGATCAGCTGCTGCAGTGTTGCACCGTGCATTGTAAAAGCAGCGTTTTGCCTTTATCCCATCGTTCTTTGGATGATTCTCGTGATGTTTTCATCGATTGAATTTGTTCGTTTCGAACTTTATTGGTAGTTGTGATTATGACCACTATTGTTGCTGTGAAAAACCAGTTTAAACTCTCTCACCTCATATATACTGTCTGTTATTTCAGTTTGTTCCGTTAATGACTTATTTTTTCATAATTATTGACAATGTGCCGTTTGATTGACAATTCGATCGTATGTCATTAATATCAGTGGTGGGGTGCATGTTTTCTTCTTTGAAAATGATTGAGTTTGCAGTTTGGTCATCAAACGCCAGCACAATTCACGTCATACATGGACCCAGTTGGAGATGATGCGGCTGAGCTGAACGCTTTAGCGTTCGAATCGATGTTCGATACAGGTTTGGCCCTTACCGCAGAACCGCCGTTTGCTTTACCGAGGGAGTTGTGTGCCAAAATGATGTACAGCAAGAATGCTGCTCTTCTGCAAGAGGTAGTTTTTCGTTTCGATTTTATCTATACACTTACGTATTTGCTTGCTTTTCTGTGTGATGATGCAAGTTTAGGTGCAAGTCGGTTTGGAACAGTTGATTAAGCAACCCGAAGAATTTGACGCTTGGTCAGGAGCGATACGAACTCGGCTCGTCGAGAAGCTGATAACACCAGAAGCACTCAGTCTTACAGCCGAAATGATCATTCAGATGGTTAGGAATCAATCTTTATGAGTCGAAGATTAATACATATGCGATATCTTCATTTCGTTTTTTTTTAAACATTTAATACGAGCATGCGCATGTTGATCATTCTGGTAGTATTCTTGTTTATTATTTCATTGATAGCTGCCTACTCGAAAAGCAACTTAAATGAATGGTAGAATTAGCAATAAGAACTAATTCAGGCTGCACTCAAGTCTGGTGTACAATATGGCTTTGCTCGTCTTTGTGTGTATCTTTGCACGGAAGTGCAAAACTTTCGACAAAATAATCTTCTACCGATGTTGCATAGATATCATGAGCAGAATCGTAAGCACATGCCAACTGAACAACAACAGAATCTATTGTTATTCTTTGCTGAACTTTATGAGAAGCTGGAATTGGTGAGTTTGTTGCAGTTATCGTTTGTAATCTTCTGATGAATTTCCTTCTGAAAATTTCCAAATATTGGTGCATTGGTATTTCATAACGATTGGCGAATTACGTTTATCTTTAGTCACCCTCTCTTAACGTTATATATTGTGGATGGTGTCAAGATAGAGTGGAGTTTAGTGTTAGTTAAATGAACTGATTTAGTTTGTCATGAGAATTAATTGTGATGGTGTGTTTACTTGATAACTCATCTTCGAAAAGTGATAATTTAGGCTGGTGGTGCACGAATCGCAGTAATGGGAGATGCAATATTCGAGCAGATTGAAAGTATGTTAGATATGCAAGCGAAAATCCAAGATTCGTCCGTAAGAACGGTTATACAAGTGCTTAAAGTAAGTGTTTGCTGAGGTTTTTTTTTCAGTAATTAAGTTCTGACCGCCTGCTCTTATATTGAATCTGTTGTCTGTTACCTCATTACTTTCATCAAATCAACAAATTCATTAGTCTTATTTTGAGTATTTGTTTGATAATATTAAATATTTGTTATATAACGACACCAATGTTTAATTCGATCTCGTGTTGACGGATCTGTCAAACCATGAGAGGTTCTTTTTAAGTTGATTTCGTTTTTGTTAAACTAATTGGATTAAAGGATTAAACAGTGTTAATAAATGCCGAAGCAAGGTGAAACGATTGTGGTTGCTTAAAACTGAAAAATGAGACAGTTGAAGGAAAGTGAATTTGAAAAAATGCCGATGAAATAAAAGTGCAAATGCATTGTTAATTAAGTAAAGTGAATGGTGAACATAACGTATATCTGTTTTAGTTGGATGGTCGACATTTGGAATGTGGTGAAAAAGGTGTGGCACGAGTAGACGAAGTATTCACTAAACTTAACGCCTTTGCCAAAGGGCATCCAGCATTGAGCGAGTGAATATCCATTTATTCATTTATTTTTTATTATTATTATTAAAAAGATCATAATTGTTGTTATATTTCACGATCCCAGAAGCGCTAAGAATTTCTGTTTGTTTACATGTCAATTATGCGGAAATGTTCTTCTCTCATCTGTGATGCAAAACCTTTTGCAAGCTTAAATTGATGTTTGTTTTTTGTCATTTCAGCTCAGTCAAACAGCAAATTGTGAATTTATCAGCGTTTCGCGAGAGCAACTGGGGCTTGAAAAATCAAGAAACTTATAAGGTGAGATAAATGTTGCATCTCGTAATAAATGCAACTATGCAACCTGCCAATATTATTCTGTCTCGCTCTCCCAGCTGATGAAAATGGTACGCTAAAGGTTCATTGATTTTGCAGTCTCATCTACACGTAGATAGCAGTGCAATAATAACACCATCAAGTTCGTCTGGTGATTTGATAATCGGTCCAGATGGACAGCCGCTAAGTGAAGAGGAACGTGCATTCGTGGAGGATAACATCCAAAGAGTGAACAGTGCCGATATGAATAACGAGGAGAATGATTTTTCGGACGATTGCGAGGAATTCCTTATGAATGGCAAGCTATCATTGATCTATTCATATACATTCATGTTTTCAACAATGTTGCCGTTTGATTTGCATTTATGGGAAACGGTTCGAAAACAGATTAACTTACAGCTTTTATTTTAAGCGATGTCCGAATCGATTATTGCTGAAAATTTGAATAAGTTGAATTTACAAGAAGTGATCGAGATGGATGAAGAAGAGAAAGCTAAAGCAGAGACGCCAAATGATATCACTTCATTGGCGGATCAAGGAAATGAGAAATCAAATAAATCGAATGAATAAATGCTCCAGTGGAGCTTTGAATGTATTGAGTTGTTTAGTAGCATTTCTTCGATTGTTTTAATTCTCAGAGCTTCTTGCATATTCCAATCTGTTTTTATACGTAATTCTCGTTTGGAGATTGCATCAGAATCCAATCAAATTGGAGTTCTTTTGCTGGAATATATTCCGTATTGTGCAAATCTTCAAGCATTCAATCAGTTACTATTTCTTTTCGTAATTCTGAAGAAAACTTCAAAAAAAAATTCCTGGGATATAAGGAATTCCAAGTATCGGTTTTCTAATATCATCGAAATTCATGATTTAACTTTCGTTTTCATTCGATTTATTCTCATTTACTATGTATTTTTGCAATCATTGTTGCCCACTTCCTCTCATGATTGTATGTAAGTGAACACAAATAATTAAGCCATGTTTGTATACAATAGGCCTGTGGTGTTCTTTGTTCTCATTTCAGCACTGTTTTAAGTTTGTTTCATTCGTTCATTTATTTGTTTGTTTTCGCGTTTCGTTCTTATTATCTCCCAACAGAAGTAAACAGCATAAAAGTCATCCATTAAGAGAGGGTTTGCTCAGTAATTTTATGATTTGACGAAGAATTTTCCCGAAAAGAATGAATCGACTTGATGAACCTGAAAATTCTGGTTGAAGTTCGCCTGAAACCGATACATCACTGAATTGAAATGCTGCAGTATCTTTTGCAGAAGCATTGCTCTCAGTTTATTCCAGTCTATGGAAACTGATGAATTTTTTCATTTGAAAATGGTGATTGTATTTGTGCATTAGTTCAATAAAGTGACAAATCAAATTTCCAATTGCTTTTTGTAATGATGCTGTGTTATTCGCTGAACTATTCCCATCATCGCTATTGTATCGTAAGGAGTTTCGGGTCCATCAAGTTCAGTCGTAGAGATGTGCTTTATTATGAGATTTGATTGAGTTCTTTCTGGGCACCGTTCAAATGCTAATTTTAATTTATCAGCGACTTCATCAGTATTTTTCATACAATATCATTCATACGCAATCTCAGCAAACCAATTGTGTGTTGTTCTATTCGTGATATTCTATTCATACGAATATGTGCTTATTGTAACTTTCACCTATCTGTTCAATTAATTTGTATCAATGAATATTCATTTGAATAGCGAAATCGTAGTATTTTTTCTGCTGTCATTTTTTCTGTACAAGCATTTCGGAAAACGTTATGGCCAAAATTTTTTCGCAGGATTATTATTAATCATCATTTTAATGAGAAATTCATGTAGTCCTGTATAATCTTGTGCCACTTCTAATCAGAGCCGCTCCCCTATCGATTTTTCCATTTAAATATGTTTACCCGTAGTAAGTTTATCGGTAATATGAAGCTAGGAAAGGTCATTTGATTGGATGTTGTCAACTTCAGAAATAGATCTCTCTTATTTTCCGTTAACGAAAATATTTTTCTTCAGCGACGTACTGATGATAAAGGGGATTTTGAGTTCTTTCCAACAAACAGAATACAGTAAGTATACCTCATTAATTAATAAATTTGTAATCGAAGTTCATGTTCTTTGAATGTTGTTACATTCGAATGTTTTCTTCATAATATTTGTCGCTTTTCGTAACCAAAGTTTTGTTTATATTGGTGTTTAAGTGCTTATCTTATTGAATGTGAATTATATAGATTGATATGTTTTTGAGCAGTTGCAGTTCTCATTTTTCCAGATTCGAGTTGGGATGGTTCATAACTATTAAATATGACGAATGTGCTGTGCTGTAAGTATCGCTATGAAATGAATGTCGATGAATTAATGTTATCATTATCACAGCAAATTGTTTGTGTGTTTTGTATGAACGGAGTGCGAAGTGTTCTGTTGCTAACAGATTGAATATTCACCTGCGATTGTGATATAGGAAAACTGATCCAAGTTTTAAGGTTCGAACTTATGTCCCTAGTAACAAGTATGAACAAAAAATTTCTCTCCATCTGAAAACATCGAGTTTTTGTGATGTGGATAATCAATTGCAGTTGCTTATTGTTAGGTGATGAATGATATAGGAGGAGTTGACTGGAGATTGCCAGCAGAAAGTTTAGTGAGTAGTACTTATTAGGCATGGTTATCTTCAGCGTTTCAGATGCAGTCTTTCTTCTGCAGCGTTGGACCACCGGTATTGAGTGTTCGACATCTATGTTTTCAGTATATTTGTGTTTAGATAGGCAAGATATGTGACGAGATTTAACTTTCTTGCTTCAGTTAGTTATCTTCGTTGAGTTCATGAAGCGTATCATGTTAATAAACACGATGAGGCATAGCAAGGTAGGGTTATGTTTTGAATTTAGGCTGGTCGAGGTAGATCGGGTTTGTGGTACTAATCGATCCCAAAAACTATGATTGTAAAGATTCGTATTGAAACGGAAATGCTGCATTACCGTATGTGGGTGACTGATGATTGAATCCGTAACAAGTGGCACTGTGTTATTCACACTTAAACATAGTTCGTTTCAGTTCGATTTTTGAGCAAGCGAACGCGTTTTTACTATAGTGTACGAGAAAAAAAANAAAAAAAAGTGGTACATTATGATTTGTTGAATTCACACTGAACACTTAACATTAAACAATTCACACATTAAAAGAATTCACAGAATCTTGAATTCTTTTAGTGTGGTCACACGTAGCAATGTGAGAGGTATTTGAAACTAATTAAGTATTCAAAGATTACTGGGTGCATTTTTTGTTGGATAAAGTGACTTAAGGCTTCTTAGGCTTGAAGGAGGTTCACCACGGGGCTTAGCCTCAAGTTTGCTTCGGGGTCCACTCCAGCCAACAATGAAGCTCAAGCCACAGGGACGAAGCTCATCCAGAGTTCAAGCGACTGTTTGTAGCACTGGTCTTAGTCGGAGTGAATAAAAATCGAACCGAAACGAATTTTGGGTGAGTGAATAGCACGGTGCCAATTATCATATATGCACCGTATGCATTGTGCATTCGTGAATGTCGACGTGGTGTTCTGAGCATGGAACATGTGTTATGTTAAAGCTGTTATTCGTTAATGGGTCGTTCGTGGGTGGTAATTCGCATTTTCGGCGTTTGTCTCTTGCAATCAGTTCCGTTTTTCATTAATTTTATTGTGTATTTTAAACGGAATGAATACGTCGCATCAACGTGCTTTTTTAACAAGTTTATTTCAACACCCAATTGCCATTAAACTTGCAGGGTATTCGTGCTTGCTCGAGATGGTCTCATCGGTCTCAATTTTATTCTCATTGTGCCTTGTCACTTTCGTGAATTCGCATCGTATCCTTGTGTTAGTGGATAATCTGAACATTCGTGAAACGCATTCGATTTTCCTCAAATCGCTAGCAGGTTGATCACTGTATTATCAGTTCTTTCTTTATCGTAAACGTTTCAGTAGTGCAAAGTATGCAATATTCATATGGGACGTATAAAATCATCATGTTCTTCGCGTAATGTTCTCCTTAAGAAGTAAAAAGTATTTCATTGCATTTTATGCATTCCCTTGACAAATATAGAAGTTCGATTCTTGCCATCTTTCAAATCCAGTTCATCACTTGTGATACCTGTATAATAATAAACTACGAAAAGACAAACGAACAATTTCAGAAAGGTCCCATAAATTAACCGTAAAAGCTGCCGATGATCCGTCTTTGGCATTGACGAAACATGGTGAAAGATTGTACGAGCATTTAATTCTCTTCGCCCCTGGAGTTGATGAATTTGGCGGTTCGGTGAATGTCGCGGAAATAACGGCGTTCATTGATGGAGGTGGTAACGTGCTCATAGCCGCAGGTGCGCAGATCGGTGACGCACTCCGAGATCTGGCTACAGAAATCGGATTCGAATTCGATGATGACAAAACAGTGCTTATCGATCATCTCAACTATGACACTTTACTGGCAAGTCAAGTTGTCTTTCTGGACTTTGTTTTGAAATGATACTAATGAGCGTTGTTTGTGTAGGATGATGGTGAGCATACGACGATAGTCGCGCAGCCATCGCAGTTAATGTCTGCACCAGCAATTGTGGGCTCTCCATCCGTTCATGCACCTGTGCTATTCAAAGGCGTTGCTCTGGTTGCCGATAAAACGAATCGTTTACGTCTAGAGCTGCTTACTGCTTCTACAAGCGCTTACTCTTTCAATCCACATAATAAAATTGAAGAGGTTCATTTGATTCATTTTTGAAGTTTATCACCATTGTTGATCACTTTCTTTCAATTAATTAGTTGTGTTCTCATGAATGGTCAATTTTATTGTTAGAACGCGTAGTGAATTTATTTGAAGTTGAATTCAGATGCTGAAATGTTCTTTTTCATAAATGCATTCAATATTTAGTATCCAGCTGCAATCGGTCGTTCAGCGATATTAGTCGGTGCGTTGCAAGCTCGCAATAACGCACGTGTTGTTTTAACGGGTTCGTTGGAGATGTTCTCTGATGCGTTCATCAACGCCAACGTCAACAAGGTTGGCTCAACTTCAAAGTGCGTTTTTAGTTCTATTCACTTCGTTTTTCAAATTTTTTATTTCTTCAGGCTCTTTATAGTAATGAGCAAGTTAATCGTTTATGCATGATGCCATAAAGGTAGGATGGCAATTTTTGCGACTTTCGGAAATTTCAAGGTCTCGTCACCCAGAAAGGTGCCTTTCGATTTGATAACAACCACTGTGATATTTTCATTCGAAAAATGCTCTTGACCCTGTGCTCTACAGAATTTTAATTTCCCCAAATAAACTGTTATTACTCTAAAATATGGATACGTGGTCGTATTGCATGGGTTTTATCATAAATCGCGGTAATTTCAGACCATCAAGAAGTGGTAACTTGCAATTGATAACTGAATTAAGCAAATGGGTCTTGATGGAGAAAGGTGTGCTGCGTGTTAAATCAGTTACACATCATCGTGTTCGTTTGTTTCACATTCATTGTTTTTGTGGTAAAGATAGTGGATTGAGTTGCTACTTGGTGTCATTAAAGAATAAATAGTTTAGGTGGGTTGTAATCAAACGATTCATTCATTTAAGGTTGGTGAGAAGACCCCTCCACGAGAATACACGATTTTGGACGAGGTGGATTATGAGATCGATATAGAGGAGCTGAAGGCTGGAAAATGGGTACCGTTCAGTGGTAGTGATGTACAACTGGAATTTGTACGCATTGATCCGTTCGTGAGAACAACTCTCAAGAACAAAAGTTAGTAATATTGATGCAACAATGATTGCTGCTTCATAGACAGAAGCAGAATAAATGAACTGAACTTCGTTTGTAGAAGTTTGCTTTTTGATTTCGTGTTAATAATATGCGTGCACATTGCTCTAATATCTAACTGCGGTATTTATTCATTATCTATCCAAGCGATTTGCAGATATACTTTTGTCTCCATCATTTTCAGCCTTCTTATTTATTTCACCATAGTCGTTTGGTGCTTTGTAACGTATCTGTCATTTTTTCGATTAATAATATTTATTAAGAAATTTTGGTGTGTGCGTATAGCTCTAAAAGGATTAATTTGCTAATCTTTATTTATCAAATGATATTCATTAGAATGTTTCATTTTGAAGATGGTAAATTGAAAAGTCAGTTCAAACTGCCTGACGTATATGGAGTGTTCAAATTTGTGGTCGATTATCACCGCGTTGGATACACGCATTTGTATGATGTTCGTCAGGTATGTAACTATCTTCAGATTATGCAATTATCTTCAGATTTCAGCTTTTTCGTTCACTAATTTCAACAAAATACAGGTATCTGTTCGACCGTTAGAGCATACCCAGTATGAACGTTTCATTCGAAGTGCATATCCGTATTATGCGTCTGCATTCTCGATGATGGTTGGCCTAGTGCTGTTCTCGTGTGTTTTCTTATATCACAAGAACGTTAGCAAGGATATCAAAAAAGATTGATGAATTGACACATTATTTATGTTAGTATCGCTCATGTTTGTGTGTTTCGCTCTAATAAAATTATCGTTGTTAAGAGTTCGTTTGTAAGAGAATATATTCTTTATTCTAAAGTTAGGGATAACAGCTGTTGTTATTATTAAATTGCCTTATCAAATTCCCCTGAAGATGAACTGTTATTTGTTGTCGAAGTTCTGTTAAAAGGTATTGTTTTGTGATTAAGTAGTCAAAATTTTTGTGTATTGTGGTGATGTTTCGTTGGATGTCGTAAAAGATTCAGTTGATTTCTTTTTAATCATACACTCGAAATAAACTTTTTTCTCATTCGCGTGATCATTTTACAAGACATCTTACAAAACTGCACTTCCAACGTATTAAACGCTGAATTTTGCGGAGGGGCATTGAGACTCATTTTTTGACTGCTTTAAATGTGTATTCGAGGACAGTTCTGAATTTTTTTGCACGCTTTACATCCTTCAACATAGTTTTGTTTTGATTGCTTGCATGTTTTTCGTTGGCAATCCTGATTGTTTTTGGAACATTTCGAAGGAAGTGGCGCAGAGTCACACTGCAAAATTGATTCAAAATCAGCATATGATTAATGACTGAGGAAGAAAATGAAAAAGCGTAAATTTTGTTTTATCGACGAAATCGAGAAATGCAATGCCAAAAGTGGCGCATCGATCAGAAAACTAATTTAATTGTGATTCACTTCGGTATTCCTCACTCGCATTTTCACAGTCGTTATTAATCTACTAGTATTTTAGCGTTCATCTCGTAGAAGTAATATTGAACGAGAACGGTTAATCGTAATTCAATGCCCAATCATACGAAGGTTGCATGTGAGATTAAATCAAAAACGCCGCAAAATGTGCAATTGCAGCACCGATTTGTATGTTCATGTTCTCCAACAATTTACAAATTAAATTTACTTTCATAAAACAACAATCATCTAATTAGTCTTTACCGCTATCTACAGAATAAACGAAACTTTTTGATTAGAATTGCTAAGAACACTCCTAATAACCCCCTCAACATGCAGAACCCGCAATCAGCTCCATCCATCATCAAGTCGTCATAAGCAACCCAAGTTTGGAAATCATTATCACGATTCCAGCACAGTTAAAAAACAAAACACCAGAGCATCACTCACATTGAGAACGTTCAGTTTCATTACCTCATCCATACTAATTGAAGTAAGTAACCTGAATTCGCTCACTCTAGAATATACCTCTTCCCCTTGGTCTTTCCCTGATGATGAACGCTATGTTAATGTCGTTAAAGATGTTCGAAGAAGATACACATGTTTCGTCTTGAATGTGTGAACTTCAATAACGTATCTGAACACTCGGAGAGATTGTCAATATTAGGATTCGAAACTTTACAACTGCGACGATTTTAAAATTGATCTTTGAATAATCTACAATTTCATTCAAGGTCAGGTTGATCTCTCAGTGGAAGAATTTTTCGAATTTTCCTCAAGCAGTGAACGAATACGCCGAAATAATTCCCTTAAACTCGCTCTCAAACGCTGGAAATTAAACACTACAAAACTCTCGTTCGCAAATAGAATCCTTAGAGTCTGGAATCTGCTCTCCCAACATGTTGTCTCCTCATAATTGCTCCAAATATTTAAACGCAGACCCCGATCTATTCCACCAAATGAAATCGGATGTATATCCCTATTAAAATTTCGTTAACTATTTGAAAAGGGGATGTAAAGAAATGGAAAGAAGTTAGTTCACCCACCTAGTTTTAATTATTCCCATTTTATTGATACAATGATTTGATTTTTTTCTCTTTTTCAACGTTTCTTTCCTGCCCAGCACCAGTAGGATCAGTACACTCGTCATATTGTAATCATCCGCACAGCGAATATTATTATATGAATACATATCCTTTCCCAGCGAGAACAAAACTGAATAAAACATCACCGCACTGCCATATAGCTCAGTGATCTGAAACGGAATGATAGTGGTGTGCTTATATTGAGGTATAATTGAATACTCAATTCTAACCTTTCGGAGGAGTACAGTGAGTTCGAATTTAGCAGGTGTTTATGGTAGAGCGCTTCAGATGTGTGTTCACTTAGCTTAATGTTGCAAAAAATATGCATTCACTTGCAGACGAAAACTTAGCGGAAATAGATCGCTGAAGCGCTAACCACAGACAATAGCGAAAGCTATCGCTAGAAATTTCCGCTATTTAAAGTAGCGTGTTATTGCGCTACCGCTGTTCCACTAGTAGTGGCAATCAGCGATTGTGAAGTAGTGATGGTAACCGAACGAACTTTCAGTTCGATCGCAATCCGACCGAACAACCTTCTAAATTCCGAAATTCCGCATTCCAATCGAAATTCGAAATTTTCGGTCAGATCCGACCGAATCCATTTTTTGACATTCCAAAATTTGGTGTTCTTGTCGAAATCCAAAACTGCCCGATCGGAATCCGATTGAAGAGTCCCGAAAATTACTGTACTTTGGTAATTATCGTAATTCAGAAAGATTGATCAAATCGAAAATTCAGTCGGATTTCACCGGGCGAAATTCAAAAGGATGAGATGAAAAAGTTGGCTTTGGAAGGGATTATTCATTTTATTTCGATAAAAACCGATATCTCGTTCCGGGGCAGGTTTTTGATGAGGATGAATGAATGTCGAACGGTAATATGCCAACGGATCTTCACAGAGCTCAACTCTACAAATCCGTTCTTCTGAACTCGTCCAAGCATTTCATGCTATTCACTCAAGAAAATCTTCATATTTTCCTCATTTGTCTCTATCAAAAATCCAAAAAGCAGCCATTTCATTAACACGTCAAATGATGCACTAGTTGTTAACACTTGGTGTTATTATAATTACATTGAAATGTTGAAAGGCACTGCAATTAACAGTGTGACAGTGCTAATATTTGACGTTGTGTTTATAGATACATGAATAAGCGCATATACAAGATACGTGCAGATATAAATATCGTACTTTATAACTGGATAATCTTCGAAGAACACGTATGTAAAGAATGCATATGACATGAGTGAATCAATCCATCCAGTGAACGAGCCAATGAATACTCGAGTCGCATCGAATGCTGCATTTTATTTGCTTAGTTTGACTAGTAGTGAGTATTATGCTTATCTTGCTGCATTCTTGCTTAAAGCTGTCAGATTGGATGTTTAGTTAGCGTATAGCATAGTTATTGCCATAGAGACAACGACGAAAAACAACTGAACAACTTTTGCGTCCGTTGTCATATTACATTTTATGACCCTATTATTATATTTCACTCTCATCTGGATTTCCGCTGTACTCCTCTACAATTCTTCTGGTATATTTGTGGGAACACGAATGAGCAAGACCAATGAAACAGAACTGACAAGTCAAGAACCCCGACAGATTTGTAGCAGTAATAAGAAGGAGTATAGTAAATAGATCGAATTCCAGCTGATAGAGCAGACTCAAGCGATAATAGCTTGAAGTTGAGAGTCAGCTTAAAGTTGTATCGCAGTGAGTCTTCACTTTCACTCTTCACAGCTCGATATTCAAAAGCACGGATGCATGTCGAACTCGGTTATTGCTGAATATATCTGAATGTTGAACTTGAACCAGCTGATACGTAAATTGATAAATCACTTCGTCAATGAGCTTCTCGACTCGAATATCACTATTGTCATAATCAATCGAACCACCAGCATAAAGCATTATTCATCTTCTTTGTATGCTCGAAATGCATGTTGAAGTCATACTGCGTCTCTGTTATCATGCATATATAACAATCATGTAGAAATACAACGACGTATATATCTATGCATGTATATTTATTTCTTCCTTCTTCATTTTCATATATTCATTTGATTCAAACCTTAATCAATATCTGAGAGTAGACAGATGTGTTCGTATGGCGACCTAATAGTCGCAGCTTTATATTATAGCCAACTGGTAATACGCATCGATCCATTCTAGGCTACTACTGCTTTATTCCGTTCCACGCTAATATCAATCTCCCTTTTCACATCTTGTTTCGGCGCGTTCCAGCGTCGTTGCTTAATACCCAAATGTCAGTACTCTCTATGTAGGGCTAACTGACGAATTCATAGTTTTCATTCTCTCACTTAGCGATTCACTTTTAGCTCTTAGCCACGATCCTGCTGTTGTATCGTTTATCGTTTTTGGTATTATGCGCAAAAAAAGATGCTTCATTCCATTTTGCAAATTGTGATTGTCTATTGGCTATACTCATCGATCGCAATTGAAAAACACTCACATGTGTTAAACGTGTTTTTAGAGTTTAAGAAAAAGGCAATTTTACGGACAGAATCGCTCAAAATAAACACTGTTGACTTACTTATTGCTATTCTTTCGAGATTTTGTTCCCAAACACACTTTTAACCACCAAAAATTCATCCTTCCAGCAAATTTACCCAACAGCAGTATAAAGTGCTCATCTTGTATGCATTTGAAAACTTCAGTTCTGTGTGAATTTCCGTCATTTACGTGTCATCGTTAATCAAAAGAGGCCGAAGGAAGCTTTCATTCTCATAGTATCCGATCCACGAATGTTTTCTCGATGATTAGCTTATAGCTTTTAGCTTATTAGATTTTCATTCGACGATTCTACATTTTGATGGACTATAGTTGGGTGTAAGTTTGCGTGAGTGGTTTGTGTTCGTGAGTGACTTGACTCGTTTTTACGACTGATCTGTGATAACCTTGCAGTCAGCCGCGGGCACGAAAATGGATGCGCCTCACGTATCCAGAGCAATGTCATTCATAACGACAAATCTTTTCGGACACATATTTTCACTATCGGCGCTTGTTTAGTTATCTTTCTCTAAACTCGCTCCTCTACGTTCCATTCCACTATTTCCCAGCACAGCTTTTATTGCATTGATTTCCACGAATCAAAAATGGGCATTATCGGTGTGCCCTTGCCTACGTAAATAAATAAATAAACAAATAAATAAATGCAAACAGCGTTCTCATCACAGTTACATTATTCACACACTGAAAACATCACTGTTCGGTATTGCGCGCTTCATCGTTGCTGTGTGTGTCTAGGAATGCAATTGAGTGTGACTGCGCATACATATCGAAAGTGATCAATGAAAACATATCCATCCTTCACGTATATCTTTTCCTGCTCGTTTCCAAGCACTTGTTGAAGTTATCGTAAACAAGGACCACCCAACCGCGAATGGGCGAGTTGCTCGTTTGGATGTTACACGACTGAAGATGGTGACAGCAGGAACAGGAGGGATTTTGGGCGGGGGATCATAGTGCTCGTGAGTGGAGGCAGAGGTGGCGAGGGATTCTATAAAA